TGGTCATTTGGAGAGCCTAAGGGAACCACCTAGGAGCATTTTCTTTTTTCTTTTTATGAGAGAGAGAGAGAGAGAGAGAGAGAGAAAGTGGGGGGTAGAGGGGCAGAAGGAGAGGAAGAGAGAGAATCTTAAGCTCCACTCCCAGCGGACAGCCTGACAGGAGGCTCGATCCCATGACCCTGAGATCATGACCAGAGCCAAAAACAAGGGTCAGGCACTCAACCCATTGGGCCACCCAGGTGCCCCACGCAGGAGCATTTTCAAGGGGAGCGGTGTAGAAGCCGGCAGGACCAGATGGTGAGGGCAGATAGAGTGTGTGTGTGCACAAGTGTGTGTGCATGTGTGTGTCCTGCGGGGTCCTGCCTTTCTGCCCGGCCCCCAGAACAAGTGGCCTGACATCAGCCTGCAGCTGGCTGCAAGTCACACACTCATGACGGGTCCTCTCATGGAGCTCACGGTCCTTCACAGCATAGGCTTCCCCGCCGGCCGTGGGTGAGCTCCCGCTGTAAAGGCTCAGGCCACCACAGGCAGCTCGCAGCCCCCCAGAGGCCTCGAGAGGGGCGGCGTGGGCCTGCCTCTGCTCCGTGAGGAGGGTTCACAGGAAGTCAGAGGAGGAGCTCCTATTTTGACTTTCAGGGGAAAGAACTGAAAGTGTAGGCACCAGCCTGGGTCTGCTCCACGGTCAAGGCTCATAATGAGCTCCCAGTGCCTCCCAGCAGCAACCAGCTTGAGCCCGGATTCCATCCAGAAGAAGAGCCCCCACACCCTTTTTTGTTGTTTCTCAGCTCTCACTCTTTGACCAAGGCCTGCGGGCAAGTAGCCTCAGTGCTGCAGCGTTTGGTCAGGAGCACAAACCCGGGCAGGTGCAGAAAGGAGAGCCTGCAGCGACGGGCCTCGCACGGTGACTGGTCACAACTGGTCGCTGAGCTAGGCCAGGCCCTGGGCCAGCACAGGTCCCATCTCACAACTGCCCACAGGGAGTTCACAGATGAGGTGCTAGAGGCACGGAGACATGAACTGGCTGACTCAGGGTGGTGAGAAGCAGATGCAAACCTGAACCCCAGATGCAAACCTAAACCCGTCCAGCAAGCGAGCAGGATCCTGACAGCTGGTTTATGGGGTTGACCTGGTTTTGTCCAGGACGGAGGGGATTAAAAAAAAAAAATCAACAGCAACAATCCAATGTCTAGGGTAGTTTCTGTTTAACAGCTATGCCATGAGGCCTGTCATCTGCCCAAGGGCGAGAGCTCGCCACCCTCGATGGACCCCAGAGAGCTCACGTACTGCAACAGTGTGGTGTGGCGGGAGTGTGAGCTCTTGTGCTCCTGAGTCACACAGACCTGAGACAGGTGCCCGGCCCCACACACACAGGTTGGATGAGATGATGGGCAGTTACCCACGGCCCCTGCCCCGGAGAAAGGGGGACCTACAGCCTCCCTCGAAGGGTTTCATTGAGGGTTCGATGAAATCGCAGCTGTGGTGTCGGACTTGCTGTAGATGCCCCTGGTGTGATAGCAACAAGGGTTCCTAGTATAATTCTCTTGCCGCAGAGGGAAACACAACACTAGCCGTTCTGCTGACTACTGAGGCTCCCAACAGACACTTTTTTTTTTTTAAGATTTTATTTATTTCACAGAGAAGAGAGCACAAGCAGGGGGAGCAGTAGAGGGAGAAGCAGAACCCCCCCCCCCCACCCACTGAGCAGGGAGACTGACCTGGGGCTCGATTCCAGGACCCTGGGATCATGACCTGAGCCACCTCCCCCAGCCCTGACACCCCCGCGACGGGCATCTAACCTCCAGCCTCCCGCCCGTCCAGCGTTTCAGACACCAGCACTGCCCCACGGGGCCCAGCTCCTCCGTCTAGCCTCGGCGTTCCTGCTCGCAGGTGGCAATCTACCCATCGAGGGCATTCGAGACGGGGAGCCGATGTGAGGCACAGCTGTTTCCATGGTGTTTTAAAATTCACTTCCCCATCAACGAGCAGATGGAAACAGCTCCCAGGGGCCTGTCACGCTGCTTTCGCTGTGCTTTCTCTCCCTCTTGTCTTCTTCTCTTCCCTCCTCACTACCTGTCCAGTGCAGATAGGCAGCCGAGGGGAGGTGAGGGAAGGAGAGGCCCTGGTCTGTGGCCCTTCAGGGCTAATTCCCTCCCTCATAGGCATCAAATTCCAGAACTGGCCTCCCTCCGGTCTAATACACGTTGCCGAGACCTCACTCTTCCTCTGGGAAGCTTGTTAGAAATGCAGATTCTCGGGCTGCACCCCAGGCCTGCCCTTTACCACAGAGCTCATGTGACTCCTGCGCAGGCTCAAGCCAAGAACAATGACTTCCAGCCTCGCTTTGCTCAGAAACACAATGTGGACAGCATCTGCTTCTGAGGCACTTTTTCCTGGGAGTCCCCGATTAGACCCAGGCCCAAGCTTTGGGAAGGCCAGGAAAGTGCTCGGCCAATTTGAAACCATCCCAGCAGTGAGTAGCTGGTCAGTGACAGCCTCTAAGGGAAGGCTTCCATGGGACCAGGAGGCCTGCCAGGCAGCGCCGCAAACATTTCCTCCCTGAGGAGGAGCAGAGTCGGAGGACCGGCCTCCCATCTGCTCTAACTTAAATATGGAAGACGATGAATGCATCAAAACGTTGGCATCTTAACTCTGTATGATTAGCGGGAAGGTATTTGCAACACCTCATATCTGATCTCAATATCCTATGGTTCTCAAATTGAGTGTTGACCAGAAGCCCTGTGGGGCTTGTTTTCCTGAAAACAAAAATGCCAGGACCACACCTGGGACCTCCTGCATCAGGGTCTCTGGGGAGGGGCCAGGTTTCTGTTGATCTGGGGAAGTCCCCAGGTGGTTCTAGAACCCCTAGGAGCAGAGCCTGCAGCCTGCTCAGACCTGCCCTCTCCCTGCCATCCTACCTGTCACCAGATGAGGGTGCCCTTCCTCCCTCTAGAAAGCACTGAAGGGACGCCTGGCCCCTCACCTACTTGGGCCAGCACTCTTTGGGGGAAGGAGAGGGTGGAGGTAGGAGAGGAGTGGATGGTGAGAGACTAGACTAGACTAGACTAGAGAACCCAGACCCTTGGGTGCTTAGATGCACAGTGTCCAAATATAGAAACCTTGACCCCATGACTGAAAGAGTAACAGCAAACTTCTGCTTTCTGGGGACAGACATGTTCCTTCCTGAACGTGCCTCAGGACCTGACCGACCCTTGAGCTGGGTTTTGAAGGTCAAGTAGGAGTTAGCCAGGGAGCTAGGCCAGAGTGGGGGGTAGTGCCATAGAGAACAGAGGGGACGCCCTGGGTGTGTGTGTGACTATGCTGCTCTAGCAAGAGGCTGAAGCAGGCCTTAAAAGTTCTTGAATCTCGGGACGCCTGGGTGGCTCAGAGGGTTGGGCCTCTGCCTTCGGCTCAGGTCATGATCTCAGGGTCCTGGGATCAAGTCCCACTTCGGGATCTCTGCTCAGCGGGGAGCCCGCTTCCTCCTCCACCTCTTTCTGCCTGCTGCTCTGCCTACTTGTGATCTCTCTCTGTCCATGAATAAATAAAAATCTTTAAAAAAAAAAAGTTCTTGAATCTCGGGAGATTATACTCTAGCCTGACGGTGACGTGGAGCCCCTGAAGGGTTCTCAGCCGGAGGGAGGGGAGCGCCATCAGATGTGCATTGACACAGATCACCTCAGGATCAGAGAAAGATTTGACCTCCAGGGGCAGGGCATCCAAAGAAGAGGTCAATGTGGAATCCAGGGCATTTGAAGACCCCTACACCAAGACAATAGCCATAGAGAAGAGAGGACACACTCTGGTCATGTTTAGAAGATAGAACGACTGGGACATGGTGGCTTGAATGGGTGCAATGAGTGGGAGGGAGGCGTGGAGACAGACGCCCAGGTTCCTAGATGTGCCCCCTGGGGAATGACTGCACCGTTTAGACATCAGCAGGAAGGAGGGGCGGCCTGTGGAGGAGGTCAAGCCCTCCCCCTGGAGATGCCTTTGTGCAGTGGACAGACGATCGAGGGAGGAGAGAAATAGAGATCTGGAGTCAGCAGCAGGTAAATGTCCATGTGGAAGACCGGGAGGCTGGGGCGGAGGGGGGTTCTGGGGATGGGGGACCCCGGCCACACAGGGTGTGTGGGAGGGGGCTATTTTCATGACTTTGGATTCTGTTGAACCCCAAACTGGCTAAGTTCTGCCTACAGTCACGAAATTAGGAATGGTGCCTGGGGTTAAAAGCAGTTCTCCACTAGATGGTTTGTTTTATGTAATTATTGGTGGCTACTTTCATTAAGAGTTGTTGGTAAAAGCCTTGAGACTGCATTTATTGAGGCTGCTTGAGTGAAAACAGAAATTACAATACAGAAGCAGGTTAGAGGAGGCCCCCACTCCCCATGCCCAGTGCCACGATGGGCCTTCGCAGGAAGTGAAGAAGGGTCTGGAATGAGCACACCTAAGGCCTGAGGAAAGGCCCAGAGGGGTGGCGCTGCAGCTGCTCAGCTGGTCCCACTGGGTCCTTTCTTCCTGTGACACACAAAAGAGGAGGCGGGGACGGGGGCGGTGTTGTAATTTGCACCCAGGACGGGAAGCGCCGGAAAGGGAAGTCGGCAATGCCAGCATGAGCCATTTGTTCCCGTGGCCACTTGGGCTCTGGCTGCTCACAGGGCAGCCTGCTGGAGGAGGACAGCCGCTTTCAGTTGCTCCTGTGGGGTGGGGCTTGCCCCCAGGGCCCCCTCAGGCCCTCACCACCCCCTTTATCTATCCACCCCAGCAAGCAGGTGCAGCTACAGAAGAATGCCTGGGTGGGATCTTACGTCCACTGCTTGGGGCCAAGCACCTTGGGTCGTCCCACGGTCTCACTTTCACTCCTAACCTATTTTCCTCAGGGATTTAAAGGAGGAACCAACTCCACTAACACTGGGATCTTAGACTTCTGGCCTCCAGAACCATGGGACGATTTCTTGATTAAGCCACCCAGTGTGTGATATCTGTAACAGCAGCCCCCCACAGTCCGGATCTGTCCGGATGACCGCAGGGGCAGGCCACACCAGGCTGCGCTTGTCATACCTGTGAAGAGGTGACCTCTTTCGAGAAGGGAGAGGGGGATGTATCTGTCGGGCAGTTAACCTTCTGGCTTCTCAGCAAGTCATGCTCGTTCCTACTCCTGTAGCCTGTCCCTGCCTCTGTTTGAGTTTGTTTGCTCACTTATTCATTTGCTGGTCCACTGTCCATTTGTTTATTTGGGTCATTCTTTTCACTTTTCTTGTCCACATTCTGTGGGCCAGCCACTGTTCTAGATGCTGGGCGCGCGGTGGGGAAGGGGACAGACAGAAGGCCTGTCCTCACGGCACTTCTATTCCAGTGGGAGGCCAGGCATGAGCCATGTCAGTCATGTGCTGGATGCTGCAATGACAGGAGCAAGGTTTCCTGGGGGGTCTTGATGTCCCAGCGAGCCCTGACCTTGAACCCCCTGCTTCGGTGTGAGCACGAAGATGGCTCAGGTGTGTATAAACAGCCTTGTCAATGCTGTTAAGTGTTCTGCTAGTCGTGAAAAGCTGTGCATCTTGAATACAGATGGGGGCCTTGGTGTGGTCCGCCTGCCCCCTCTGTAAGCCCCGTTTTGGGGAGAGGACTGAGGGACACTCTGACCACGTGGCATGGATGTGTGACACCCACTGGGACTGGATGTTCTAGCTAAAGACCACAAGGTGACAACAACCAGAGGGTCATGAGACACTCAAGGGGTCTCTGCAGGAAGTTGAGGGTCACAGGTGTTGTTCAGGGCAGGGCAACTCAAAGCGTGCCTCCTGGGATCACCAGGGCCACTTGGGACCTTTGGAGAGATGCAAATTCAGGCTCCACTCCAGACCTACTGAATCAGGAACTCTAGGGTGGGGCTCCCTGGGAGTTGCTGATGTGTCCGGAAGTTGAGAAACATTGGTGCTGGGGACAAGCATGGCTCTGGGGACAAACGGGGTTCAGTTTGAGAACTGGCCTTCTGCTTACTGAGCTTTTGTTCTCTTATACTTAATAAAGTATAAGTATTTATACTTTATAAAAAAGTATTTATTATACTTAATAAAGGCATTTAAAAAAAGTACCTAACTTCCCCCACCGACTTTCTAAAGTTGTGAATAGTGTATTTAGATAATGCGAGTGAGTGTGGGATCCAGTCCAAAGACAGGAAACACTAGCTAGTTATTGTCTTATAATAATTATTATTCTCCGGTCAGCTTCTGGAGAGCAGGTCTTCCTACCCAAAGCTTTGGAGCCTCAGGAGCTGGTTAGAAACCCTCAGTGTGACCCCAGCCCTCTCTCAGACTGGCTGTCTGGCTGCCTCGGAGCTCTCCGCCACCCAGCAGAGCCAGGGAGGCCGCCTTGCTCAGGGTGCTAGAGGCCAAAGGGCTTATAAGCCAAGAGTTGTCAGGAATCTGGGCCCCAACTTGCTCCAGGAATTCTGGCCTGAGATAAGGCAACACCATTATTACCCCACGCGACAGTGCAAACTCAGGGCCTCAGCAGGATCCAAACAAGGAAGCCTGATGGCATTCTGGGAAGGAGGGGGCTCTGAGGGGAAGAGCAAAGTGATCATTACGTGTGTGTATGAAGTGGAGGGGCTGTAAAGATTGCCCAGGCACCCAGGCAGTCCAGGGTTCCGGGTACCAGGGAGGGCGGGAGTACGGGCTTACTGTTCCTGTTGTCTCACCGACTTCTTGATTAGGTTGTCCCTTTGAGCACCTGGCTTTGTGACCCAGAGAAGAGGAGGCTGTTCAAAGCTGTAACAGAGCTCTGTACTTGTACCGGCTTTACGGTTGCTGGAGACAGTCGCCCCGAGCAGTTCAGAAAGGCCAAGGTAGACGTGCACACTCAGCGAGCTCACGCCCGGACCGTGCCTTTCCTGCCCTGCCCCACCCCTCCACCCAGATTTACTGGGTGATGCTGGATGTGGGGGTGGGGGGCACAGCCTTAGGACTCCCAGACCTGCTTACGTGCACAACCGGGCCACAGCCAGCCAGCCTCCTCTTGCTCAGGGGCTGAGGTGGGGCCCATACTCCCTCACACCTTCCCCTAGCTTCTTCCCAAGATGCCCTGGGAGGTAATCCAGGTATTGGGCCCGTATGTCAGGGTCATGAAGTGGCTAAGATACAGTGGCTTCCCCTGAGGTCAAAGGGCTTTGGCCCTGTCTGCACAGGGGACACGTTCCTGGGTCTGCTCTTGACTTCGGTGTGCCTCTGCAGTGGGCTCTGATCCCTTTCCCAAGCGTGACCCACTCCAACCCCTGCAGAGATAACCAGCCATATTCTCCCATTGACTCTCCTGGCCTCCCCTCTGGGGTTCGTCAAATGGGGTGAGAACATTGACACACCAGCAAAAGATACGCCCAGCCGCAGACAAATCAGAGAGAGGAAATAAACGGTTATATATTCCTGTCCGCTTTACGTTCAGATATATATTTTCCTCTGATCATCCTTATTTACATGTGTCTTTTATTATCTGGATTCTTCAAAATGATCTAAAATTATTTATGAAAAATACATGTTTAGTGGCAATCTATTTCTTATCTCAAAGGGGGATGAAGTGTGAGGAAGAAAATTAACCCCCAAGTCAAGGCACAGTCTGGCTACGACACATGGAAAGGGACAGGGGGTTGTCTGTGCTGAGTTGACCGTTATGCCCACTCAGGGTCTTGACCATCTCCCTTCCCATCCCTGCCCCCTTTCCCCTGTTCCCTCCCCAAGAAAGAGAGGAGGATGCCACTTGCGGAGAAACATCTCTCTCCCTCTGCTCCTCTGCTCCTCACTGGTAAGGAAGAGCTCCTCAGCCCCCCCCCCCGCCCCCAGGCACCGGGCCCCTCACTGAAGGAGGCTTCTTGGCACACCCACCCTCATCCAGCCTTCTGACACCCTCTCTCTCCAGCCTGTCCCAGTCTCGGGTCACTCGGTGTCCCCTGAGCCTTTAGCAGTGAGCCTATAAACCTTCCCCAGACACCGGTACTGGTTATTATTTTAAGGTATACAGTTCAGTGGCAGGAAATACCTTCATATTGTCGTGCGAATCACTACCTCCCAGCTCCAGAACTAATCTCGCATAACAGAAACTGGAAAATTTTGACAACATGGTATAACATGCATGAACCTTGAAGACATTATACTAAGCGAAAGGAGTCTGTCACAGCAGGACAAATGCTGTAGGATTCCACTGCTAGGAGGTAACCAGAGTTGCCAAATTCATAGACACGGAGAGTAGAAGGCTGGGGGCCAGGGGCTGGGCAGAGGGGGAAGTGAGGGGGTAGTGCTGAATGGGGACAGAGTTTCAGTTTGGCAAGACGAAAAGAGTTTTTTGGAGGTGGGATACAGAACAATGTGACTATTTTTAACACAAATGAACTGTACACTTAAAAATGGCTAAGGGCGTACATTTTATGTTATACGTAATTTACCATAACTAAACATTTTTAAAACAAAAAAAAATTTTTTTTTAAAAACTGGAAACTCTGTACCTTCACCCCACCTCTATGTGCCTCAGTTTATTCATTTGTCAAATAGGAATAATCCTACTACCCGATCTCGGAGGAACGTCGTGAAGATCTGCTGGGTGATCTACAGGAAGGGCCCACATTGGTGCCTGGCCACCTCAGTGCCCTGTGTCAGCTGGTGCTATTACTAGTGTCCCACGTGAAGCAGGGTGGGAAGGGAGAGGTCAGTGGGGCTACCTTTCAGAGAAAAGGGATAGGGATGATAGGACAGGGTGGGGAAGGGTGAGGGAGAGGAGTCTGCTGGGACCTTGGGAATCTATCCCCCGGATGGAGGGATTCCTTAAGGCTTGACCTGCACACCTAGGTCCCAGCAGAACTGCTGAGTCTGCCCATTATGTGGCCTCTGATCATTTTGAATTTGTGGTCCTGGATCTACAGCAGGCTGGAATTTCTGAGTCTTTTACTCAGCAGAAGGGTGAGCTGAACTCAGTTTTGGCATAGACCAGATAGGTCAAGTGCAGGGGAGATTTTTAAATTTCTTAACAGAATAAACTACCTCCACGCCCTGCAACAGGGTTGCTGGGAATATGATTGCAAACTGTCTTACCTTCCAGTTCAGTAGACCCTCAGAGCAATTTTTTAAAATGTATTCATAAAAAAAAAGCCTTATGAAACTATAAATACGATTGCATGTAATAAGTAACCTTATTTAACGGGAAAAAAAATCACATCCTTGAAAATCTGAGCATGGTCCCCCATTATGTGTCACCATAGTGATGCCCAGGGTCCTGGACTTTCTCCTCCTCATGGCAGCCCCCACCCCGTGACCAGAGGACAGCGGCTGAGCAGAGCCCCCCAGTCCTGCGGAAAGATTCAGCTGCAGATGGGCAGCAAAGACTAATGAAACAAAAAGAGATTACTCCAAGGGGTTTTACAGCATCTGTTGGACCAAATGTTTTCTGACGTTTGTACTAATTCTCTGGGGGTCTTGCTCCAAGGACTCTAATGACCTCATTCCTCTCTGATTTTGCTCTCCATCCAGATTGCAGGCAAGCACGAGCAGTCAGTCTCCTGATGCAGGGGCTGAGGAGTGGGGATGGGCTGCCTCCTCTCCTTGGGGTGGGTGTATGGATGGGGGTCAGCTTGCATGGAGCCTGGGAGGGAGGGCTATGGGACGCCTCAGCCTCGCCCCTTGCCTCCATCCTCCATCCTTCGGCAGTGGCTGCAGCACTAATGCTAGGAACGCTGGAGATACCGGTTCTTCTTTTCTGTTCTATAGCTTTCTCGGGTTTAAGTGACATACGATACATGGCACACACTGCAAGTGTGCACTTTGAGGAGTTTTGACACATGCGTACACCCATGAAACCATTGCCAGGAGGTACGTATCTACCCTCCCTCCCCTCCACACCTCTACGTCCCTCCCAGGCAACCACAGATCTGCGTTTTGTTTTTTTTTTTTAATTTTATTTTTTCAGTGTTCCAAGATTCATTGTTTATGCACCAGACCCAGTGCCCCATGCAATACGTGCCTTCCTTAATACCCACCTAACCCCCACTCCCCTCCCCTCCAAAACCCTCAGTTTGTTTTTCAGTTTCCACAATCTCTCATGGTTTGTCTCCTCCTCCGATTTCCCCCAATTCTCTTTTCCTTTCCATCTCTCAATGTCTTCCATGTTACTCCTTATGCTCCACAAGTAAGTGAAACCATATGATAATTGACTCTCTCTGCTTGACTTACTTCACTCAGCATAACCTCCTCCAGTTCCACCCATGTTGATACAAAAGTTGGGTATTCATCCTTTCTGATGGAGGCATAACACTCCTTTGTATATACGGACCATATCTTCTTTACCCATTCATCTGCTGAAGGGCATCTTGGTTCTTTCCACAGTTTGGAGACTGTGCCCATTGCTGCTATTAACATTGGGTACAGAAGGCCCTTCTTTTCACTACATCTGTATCTTTGGGGTAAATACCCAGTAGTGCAATTGCAGGGTCATAAGGTAGCTCTGTTTTTAATTTCTTGAGGAATCTTCACACTGTTTTCCAAAGTGGCTGCACCAACTTGCATTCCCACCAACAGTGTGAGAGGGTTCCCCTTTCTCCACATCCTCTCCAACACTGGTTGTTTACTGTCTTAATTTTGGCCATTCTAACTGGTGTAAGGTGGTATCTCAATGTGGTTTTGATTTGAGTCTCCCTGATGGCTAATGATGATGAACATTTTTTCATGTGTCTGATAGCCATTTGTATGTCGTCTTTGGAGAAGTGTCTGTTCATGTCTTCTGCCACTACATTCTTTTCATGTTACAGAATTTTATACGAATGGAAGGGGACGTTATGTCCTTCTTTGGTCCACACTCACTCTGCATCATTATTTTTTGAGATTCATCCATTATCATGTATACCACCTATTCATCTCTTTTTAGTTCTGTCATTTGTTTATCCATTCAAGTGTGGATGGGCACCTGTGTACAAGACTTTGTGGGGACATAAGCTTTCATTTCTTCGGGTTGAATAGCTCGGTGTGGAACAGCAGGATCATGTGGTAAGTGCATGTTTATTTAAAAGATTACCTCACTGTTTTCCAAAGTGGTTGTGCCATTTTATGTTCCCACCAGCAGCACGTGAGAATTCCAGTTGCTCTGCATTCTTGCCAGCATTTGCTACTGAAGGCCTTTAATTTTAGACATTCTAATAGCCGTTTGGTAGTATCTTGTGGTTTTGATTTGCATTTCCCTAACTGATGATTTTGAGCCTCTTTTCATGGGCTTATTTGCCATCTGTATACCTTCTTGAGTGGCTTATCTGTTTGAATCTTTGTCTATTTTTAAAATTGTGTTGTTTTTTATTATTGAGTTTTGGGAGTTTAAAAAATATATAACACAAGTCCTTTATCAGACAGATGCACCACAATCTGTGACTCGCCTTTCCATTCTCTTAACAGGATCTTAAGAAGCGCATGAGGTTTCTTTCTAAGAAGTCTGATTTATCAATATTTAATTTTATGGATCACGCGTGGTTGTCATGTCTAAGGAATCTTTCTTCAGGGGAGGTCCCAAAGGTTTTCTTTTGTGAGTTTTTCCAGATAATTATAGATTTGGTTTTACATTTAGGTTTGAGATCCGTTTTGAGTTAATTTTTATATATGCTGAAAGGCATGATTCCAAGTTTATTTATTTGCATATGTATATCCAACTGTTGCAGCCCCATTTGTTGGAAAGACTATTTTTTTTCATCACTGAATTACCTTTCACCTTTGTAGAAAATCACCTACACATTTGTTTCCTAGGACTGCCTAAGAACACACCACAAACCTGGGGGCTTAAAACCACAGACGTGTATTCTCCCACAGTTCCGGACGCCTAGAGTCTGAAATCATGGGCTTGGCAGGAAGCCCGCTCTCCAGAGGCTGAGTCGCAAATTCTCTCTGAAC